TCCTTCACTTAGTTTCCTTCTTAGATCCTAAATGAGGTGGTCTCAAAAGTCACAGTTACAACACACATAGGGCGCACCGCACATTTTGAGGGGAAAAAAAGACGTTTATGTGCGCCTTATAGTCGTGAAAATACGGTACTCAGAGTTCTGAAAACAGAAAGTTTATGTTCCAGTGGGTGATGAATTGTCCACAATGTGTAGAGGACAGTCCAGAAGGGACAACATGTTGTTCTTGGCATCGTCTCTAGTAACTTGATATTACTTTCCACTGAGTTGATGTGGTTGGTGAATGCCTCAACTTCCTTGGTTTGGATCTTGACCTAAGTATTATCCACGTCTGAACCAGTTGGTTGTGTTCCCTTGTATGTGCCGAGTATTCTGCTTCCCACCTCCTCCATGTTAATATTGGCAACAGTGGGTGTAACTAGGGTAGCCTATGGCACAGCAATGTTTCTGTTGGTAAAAGTTGTCACTGTATTGGAAGTATGTGGTCTGAGAAACTAGTCCATGCATTTGTTACTTCAAGGCTGGACTATTGTAATTCTTTACTATCAGGAAGTCCACAAACTGTAGTTAAAAGCCTTCAGCTGATCCAAAATGCTGCAGCCAGAGTTCTGATGAAAATAAAAAAGAGAGATCATATCTCTCCTATCCTGGCTTCTCTTCATCGGCTTCCTGTTAAATCCAGAATAGAATTTAAAATCCTCCTTCTCGCATATAAACCTTTAAATGGCCAAGCTCCATCTTATACCTGAGATATGAATGTTCCTTATGTTCTTAAAAGAGTACTTTACTCTTAATCTGCAGGTTTACTAGTGGTTCCTAGAATTTCTAAAAGTAGAATGGGAGGCAGATCTTTTAGTTATCAGGCTCCTCTCCTGTGATACCAACTACCATTTTTAGTCTGTGAGGCAAGACACCCTGTCTACTTTTAAGACTAGGCTTAAAACTTTGCTTTTTGATAAAGCCTATAGTCAGAGTGGCTCAGGTTAGAGCTCTATGGTTATGCTGCTATAGGCTCAGACTGCTGGAGGACATAGGGACCCCTATTTCATCATTCTACCTCTATTCTCTCATTCTGCAGAATTTGTTAGGTCAATCTCTAATGTTATGCTCTCTCTGCTTTTTCTCATAGTAACTTTATCTGATCTGTTCCTGTTTGGCTGTGACTCCATCCTGGAGAGAAATATCAGCTGTGCTGCTGCCATCAACACCTTTGTTTATAGATGTTGGATCTTCGTCTGTTTTTTAGTGTAATCCTGTTTCTCTGACTGTGACAAACTGGATGTGCTCTCTTTCCTCCTCTGTCATGGGAGATGGCTCCANATCATCATAATCAGTTGTGCTAAAGCAGGCAGGGAAACCTCTAAAACCTGCAGGACAGCGGCCCTCGAGGACCGAGTTTGGGGATGCCTGCTCTATAGTTATGCTACTATAGGCTCAGACTGCTGGAGGACATAGGGACCCCTAATTCATCATTCTACCTCTATTCTCTCATTCTGCAGAATTTGTTAGGTAAATCTCTAATGTTATGTTCCTCTGCTTTTTATTATAGTAACTATATCTGATCTGTTCCTGTTTGGCTGTGACGCCATCCTGGAGAGGAGTGTCGCTGTGCTGCTGCCATCAACGCCTTTGTTTATAGATGTTCTATAGATGTTTTGTTTGAATGGATCTTCGTCTGTTTTTTAGTGTAATCCTGTTTCTCTGACTGTGACAAACTGGATGTGCTCTCTTTCCTCCTCTGTCATGGGAGATGGCTCCAAGCTTGTCTGCCTGGCTGGGTGTTTCTTGGATGGGGCCGCCTGTGGAGCTGGTTGACAGTTGCCTTTTGAAGCTCTGCTTCTTTTTCTATGTCTGCTTCTGTCTCCTTGAACCCCAGTCGGCCTCAGAAGATGGCCGCTCACACTGAGCCTGGTTCTGCTGGCTCTCCACTCTCGCTACAAGCATGCTTTGTGTGAGGGATTGCCTTTGAGTCAATGAGTCAATGCAATCAGCTGATTTTTCTTAGATAGAACACTTCGAACCAATGTTATGGAATGATCTACCTGAATTGTCTTCGGCTAATGCAGGAAGACAGACTGAGACGGCTTGGAGGAACAAGGTTGCCCTACGTGCCTTCAGAAAGCTGAAGCCAGAGGAAGCAATACAGCTACTAGTGCATCTGCAAGAGCATCTACCTATGGAGCGGTGTCTAACCTATGTACAAGCATCTATATGACGCAGCAGTCACTTTTTTGATGCTCAACAAAGGCGCGCAATTAACGTAGCATTACACTTTCTAATTGTTTGAATTAACCTATGAAATATAACATTGTACATAAAAATTATTTAAAGTCTTCCTTATAAAATTTCTACCTCTAGTCAAGCACCCATACTTCCCATAATCAGGATAAAAGTGGTGATGCAACAAAGACAAAGGGTTAGCTGCATTCCACCTCAAAACACAGTAAATATGGTTTCAGAGAGTCTAAATTTCAACATTTTCGGGGGAATGACACCCCCTGACCCGCCTACGCTGCACAAAACCTGAAGATGTGATACACCAAGGTGTACATCCTATGAAATATTCCTAGCTAAAAGCCTGACCATGAATATAGAGACAATGCTGAAGATCTGCCCACAAATTTACAATGCATTTCATATTTTTGTTTCCTTCAGTTTAAATTCAGACATTTCAAAATAACACTAAAGAGTTGTAATCATAATAGTATGAAAACAGTCCTATTAACCTTAAACTTATCCTCTTTTTAAGGCTATCATACCATCAGAATTTCATAGTGACCAATGCCTACCAGTGATGCATCTTTTCATCAGGTTAGGATTACTGCTCTCACTTTGACTGGCTTGCAGAGGAAAGCTTTAGAAATTGTTTTGCCAACAATTTTAGACAGATGTTTTAAATTTCTTTGAGCTGCTTTCTGTATTTTTCTTTAACTTTCATGTTTTCAGACATGTTTGTTAAACTAATGTTTTGCTGGAACTAAGGGGCTCAAGGATGGTGAGTGAAATTCGACTTGAAAAGCGTGGTTAGAGATAACCCATCCAAAAATGAATGTGTAACATTTACAGTTGCATGATGATGTGAACGTGTCACAAAGATGTTGATATTTTTTCTTTACATCACTGTATTACTATAGTAAAGAAGCAAGTACCTCACAGATGTCTTTTAAGTGTTTGATGTAAATGCGTTCGGTTTTCATGATTTCTTGAACCACATTGGTTCTCATTTGCTCCCTGTGCTGAGTGCTGGGTTTGTCCCTGGGAGCTGGATCCTCCTGGTCTGCCACACTCTCCACGCTCTCAGTGCTCGAGTCCTCTTGGTTTACACGCACCTGAAACACATCCAACGCAAACTCAGCAAAACCTCCTGAGAACCGGTCCCAAATAAATCTGTTTTGAGAGCAAACCTAAGTCAGGATTAGACTTAAAAACATAAATTAGAAGTCGTTTACATTTGTCTCTACAGGTCGGGAACAATTTAAACAGAAAACAGTAGCTACTTTATTATGGCAACATGTGGAGGCAGAACCAGACGCTGTTCATCAACGTTGATTCAGCAAAAAGCAATTACACTTCCTGCCAATCAAGGAACCTCACCATGGTTACTACAGCCTCACTAATTAAGACCAAAGTGTCAATCAATTCCCATCACCACAGAAACCAGCGGGACCCTCTTATGTTTCTGTCCTTCAGCTCTCCATTCAGTGGGCCGCTGTTTGTTTGGGCTAAAGCCGGCTTGAGGACCTTTTATTTTCCTCAGCAAACACGTAAAAGGCAGCAGGGTCAGAAAGTCCACTTACCCTCACAAAGCTGGAAGGGAACCAGGCCTCCCTGTCACCCCCCCTGCCCCACCACCAGTCCTTGTGGGAAGCGTCCAGGAGGCGGATAACATCTCCGGCCTTGAAGGCCAGCTCCTTCTCTTCCATGGTCACATGGTCCCAGAGAGCCTCGGCGTACACGCCATGCCCTGAGCTTATCCACTGCACAGCGCCCAGGCAGATAAGAACATACAATTACATTGAGGCTAAGCCTGTGTCTGGCATGTAAGATTACTTCTAGACTTGCTAACAGTGATGTGGGCGAACTGTGGCCAAACATCTTAGAAACATGTTCAAAGTCTGGAAACAAGATGAGCCTAAAACTGATTTTGTTTTTTTCTGAGAACATGTTTTAGTGTCCCTCACCTCGTTGAGCAATGAGAGCTCCACCCCAGGCTGGAGGTAGGGCGTGCCATCGGCGAGCTCATCGAAGCTGCTCTCCTCCTCCTCGCTCACGCTGTCATCAAGCGTAGCTGTGCTTTCAGACACACCAGCTGCAACACATACCCAGAGATAAAGAAACCACATGTAGAAAGCAAGCAACATACATCTGCTTCTCTATCAGCACTTCTCCAACATACTTGCTGACATTCCTCAGCCCCTATTTTTTTCTTGTTCTTTTCTCTCCCCTCACAGAGAAAACTTTTGTTAAATCTTCTCAAAAACAAACCCAGTTCTCACCGCTCAGTACTCTGTGGAGCTTGCGCCGCCCCACGCGGTCCAGTCCGATAGGGGTGCTCTGGGATAGAGGGCAGGGTCGGAATCTGGCAGACACTCCTCTGTAGGGGGGCACCTTGTGGGAGGGGATCGGTGGTCGTGACAAAGGCTGCAGTAATAACAAGAGGAAAAGTCCTGGGATTTAGGAAGAGCTCACTTTCTCGGGCTTTCACCAGCTCCCCCCATGACTCACTGCTACACACATATTGCAGAGTCTGAGTGGGCGTTCCTGCACAGTAAGGCTGGTCACTTTGGGCTTCTCTATTTGATACAGTAGTTCTGTGCTTCCTGTAACACTTCACAAGCAAACTAAAGTATTTGCACCATAACAGTCAGCTGAATATTAGTCTGGACAGAAAAGTAGGCCAAGGCTTTTCCAGAGGGATTTAACAGTATAAATATGAGTCTCTTTAGTGTAAATGCTTGACAGGATTTGTTTGAAAACTGAATTCATTATTAACCGTTTGATGACCTAAAGCATTTGAAGGGAGGCAAATAATTGATCTCACAGCACTTACTGAGGCTTATAATATGCAGAATGTCAGTTTCATGGTCCGTTTCTTTAATTCGTTTGGCTTTTATCATTTTCTGGGTTGTACAGATCTACGTCTAAACCCTCACATGGACCTGATAAAACAATCAGGACCTGTTTATTTGTCTCCGCCCCTTGTGTCTCTTACAGTATTAAAAAGGCAATGCCTCCATTTCTGATAGTTGGAAATGACATTGCTTGAGCTTCAGGTCTAAGAACTGCTTTACCTTCTAACGCTTTCTGCTAATCTCTAAGCCTGCTTTAAAATTGTTCCCTATGGTTAAAGAAACTATATGTCTGATAGCATGTTAAATGTACCCTGTTTACTAGCCTCACATTTTTATAAAATATTCCATTGAATATACAGTCCTGTATTTCTGTGCAGACTCAGCTCACTCCACTTTTTAAAACCTTAGTTATAATAAGATCTTCTTATTTACAACAATATTGCAAACTAGATAAATCAATTATAAAACCCTTCAAATCTTTCTTTCTTTTCTTACAACACTACATTAGACAAGGTCAGACTTTCAAAAGCTGAAGCCCTGTCACACCTTAACGATTTAGCCAGCAAATGCCTGACGTCCCAGAATCTTCTAAAATGCCGGCATACGCTGAACTTTCGATGTATTTTTATTTTTATTTTGGGTGTATATATAGAGTATTTATAATGACTCCAGAACTTCTGTCCAATAACAGCCTACTTATGCATAATGTAATGCTAATTAAATGTCATAAGCCAGTGTCCTGTGGTGGCAGCTATACGCCTGGAGGCGCCCGGCTTGCATAAAAAGTTTGTTTGATAGCGGTATTGTATCTGCCCTTTACCGCCTGCAAAAAAATAAAAGGTAGATAAAAAGAAAAAAGAAAAAGAAAGAAAGAAGGTTTGCAGCACAGCAGATTCAGAGTAATGTCTGCTAGGAAGTTTGTTGACCGTGGGCTGTGGGCGTGAACGCAGGGAGGATCCATCACTCTCAACTTCTCACTCAACCTATGACGGTGATGCAGTCTGGAGGACTACAGTTTCCTCCTGTTAACCCCCTTTTATGCCCAAATGCTGCCAATATGCCATTATATGGTGGCTGTAAGTTAGAAACATGTTGTCCACTTCGTCTGGAACACGTCAAATACGCTGATATGCACTGGAGATAAGTTCTTGTTAAGATACACAAGTTTTGCACAAGTTACTCAAAGGTTTTGGAGAAGCTACACACCACGACTTATGAGTAAATTACACTTAACGTATGTCAACGATCAGATAACTTACCTGTAATACATGGCCCACGTACGGCGTCGTGTTTCAAAGTGTGTCAGCGTGCTTCAGCATCCTCATAACTTATACAAAACGTATCCATAACTTATCCAACGTATGCAGACATTTTTGCCAGATTTTTGGTACATAAGGCATACGCTGTCTAAATCGTCAAGGTGTGACAGGGGCTTGATTTACTGAAAACTAAACTTTACACCCATGTTGATTCCTTGTAAATACGGCTGAGTAAGAAAGCAGATTTTCCACGGATCATATAGAAAAGATTCATTAGTTTTCCTCCTTCTTTGACTAATTTAATCATCCACTTTTTAAACTTCTCAAAATCAGACTTATGTTCATCACAGTGACTTAAGAATAACCAGCTAAAAGACACACCAGCGTGCACTTTATAGTAAACGAGCCTTCTGGCTCTTTCTGAAAGATTAAATTAGCACATTTTAAATTCAGTGTTTGTAAAATCAAACTTTATGTTCATCAGATGTATTCTCCTAAAATGTCAGTAATATTTACACCAATCATAGCTCGCTTTACAGGCTCCTAAAACTTGGAAAGCTCTGCTGTTAGCTACTGTGCTCCTCTGTTTCAGTCCTTACTTACAAATCTCATCAACTGAAGATAAAACTCTTTGCCCTTTAGCTGTGAGCCCTGTGTGTCTGTGCCGTTTCATTTGCATACTATTTTTTTTATTGTAACTTGAAAACAATATATTTTGTTTTTCAGCTGCCAAAGCTGCTGTACACATACTAAAGTGATATTTGTTAGATGTTCCTGCAAGTTTTTTTTTTTATCTTTGTTTGCTCCACGGACCTAGAGAGGTCTTGGTTGCAACATGTTCAAAGCAACCTGGAATTTAAAAAAAAAGCATCATGCAGGATTTAAAGAGATTGAGCCACAAAGCTGCAGATTAGCACAAAAAGATTACAATCTGCCTCAACCCGCAGCATTTAGGATTTAGGAGAAAACTATCATCAGTGGAAAAATGTAAACAACATAAAATACCATAACTAAAACTAGTGTTTATGGATTTTTTGGGGATGCTATAAAAATATGGCCTCCCTTCATGAAGGGATCCCGAATGATTCTTTGCTTTTTGCCACTTAATTTACTTGAATATATTTTAAACTAGATCAGAGGGTCATTTAATGATTTTAAATTTAAGAACAGATCATTTAATCACAAATGTGCAACAAGAAAATGATTTGTAAGGGAAACATGGTGAAATCTTACAGGAGGAAGGGAATCCTCCTTCATCTCCTTATCTGCAGGGAAGAGATCCACAGCTCCGATCACAGAGATGGGCCGATGTCTCGGAACATCCCCGTTAAAGGCATAATTCTCAGGGCTGCTCCCGTTTTCATGCAGCCGTGCCTCCAATGTCCTTTCTGGATAGTTTGGCACCGGAACTTCCTCTGGGATGGATTGCTTCCTGGAAACCAGCTGGGCATAGTCAGAGATGGGCCGGGGTCTGGGGCGGCCGCTCCTTCGTCTGGTTTGGACCGAAGACGTCTCTGTGGAAGTTGCAGCCTCCTCTGTGGGTGATGTGGGTATATTAGAGAGGCGTGCTGGGGGGTCAGGAGGTGGGCTGCTGGCTGCTGTGGAGACTTCGTCTGTTTGCAGAAGTGCTTCTTGTTCTTGAAATTGTGATTTTACCTAGAAAGCAAGAAGAAACAAACAAAAACACGTAAAATAACTAAGAATTAAGGTCAAATGTTATTCCTGAACAATATCAATAAATGCACTAAAAATTTGAATATCACTTTCTAACAATAACATTGCAGTACTGTATGTCTGTCAGGGATAAATCACAGCTTGCAGTCTGAACCAACAAAATATATATATATAAAAAAAACATTAAAGGTATAATGGAGGATTTTTGCAATTTTTTGAAAAGAGCCATCTTCTCCACTTTGAAAAAAAAATGCACATGCCCAACCCAGTACCCGCTCCTGAGAGGGAATGTCTATTAAACGTGTGCAAGTGCATGTACAAGCCCATTTCTCCTCGTGCACGCTCAATTCAAAAGTTACTGTTTGCATCGCTCATACAAGCTAACTTTCCAAAAGAAGATTTGCAATTTTTCCACTATGTCAGACTCACCAACTGCAAGTGAAAATGGGGACAAGCACGTAGGACGGCCTTACGTAAACATTTCACCAGAATGATTGACGATTAGGAGGACCACTTATTTTGATTATCCACCCAGAAAAGGAACTCCACTATAGCTTTAAGGCTGATTTAATAAGCAGAATCAGTATAATTTGTTTTCATAAAATATGTCATCAAAGGTTCCAATAAGACTCTTATTGTGAAGGCACCAAATAGCGATTAGATAAGGAGCCTTTTTGTTGTTATTGTCCACCAAATAGAGTAGACCCTCGGGTTACTCTAAACCAGGAGTCTTCAAAGTTTTCCAGGCCGAGGACCCCCCAAACTGATGGTGAGATGGAGCAGGGACCCCCTAATACTATGTATATTGTATGAAATTGTGTTATATCAAACTGGTTCTATAGTCACATTTTACAGATGGAGTAACGTAACGAAAGTAATTTCTCCTTGGGATTAGTAAAGTATTTCTGATTCTGATTCCTCATTGATGGGACAGGTGTTGTGAATGAAACGGTGCCCAGCTTGAAAGAGCTCCTATGTGTTGCTGAATGTGTGCATTGATGACTAAAAGACATCTTCTGCCTCCATTTATCTGTTTACTACAGTGTGTTGAATTCATGTTAATGTGGATTTAAAGACATTTCAGTTAGTGGAAAAAATTGCAGGGGGGAATATAAAAGAAAAAAGTCTAATCAAGCAAAACTTTCGCGACCCCCATGCAGTATCTCCGTGGACCACTTAGGGGTCGCGGACCCCCTGTTAAGACCTCCGCTCTAAACTTAACAGGCTAATAATAACTTAGCATTTGCTGCAGGACAGTTAGAGGAAACCAACGTCTCACTCGGAATTTAAAAGAACTAAAAACAGCCACTGATTACCAATTTTTATGATTAAATTAGATCCTAAATCTCTGATCTGATATCCGAATCGATTCATTCACTCATATCACTATGGGTATAGGATACTGGATAAATGACACCGATCTAGAATTACAATCCACTCATTTCTTTTTTCAATAACATCACAGACGGCAGTTACACATATTTAGTCACTTTATTTCAAGCTAGTGATTAATTATTTTTTTGTCTTCACTCACACGGCAAGGTATACGGTTCATTAAGTCAACAATAATATTGGCACAAATATTGTTGTCAGAAAAAAAATGGTTTGGTGTTTTAAATTATTAAGCTTAATTATAAAAACATTTCTGAGAGCATAGAGCTGCAAATAAGAGAGTGTGATTGTTAAAGTGTTATTTTTTTGTGATATATTCACCAGTCCTACTTTGAATTGGTGATTTAGAGCAATCATTACACCTCACCAAGATCAGTTCGTAAGAAAAACATCAGGTTGCCGAGGCGACGCAAAGTCACAGACAACTTTGCTGGATCTCAACACCTAACAAGGATTTCTTTCAATGAGATTCCTATTTGTACATTTTTAGAGTAAAATATTTACTATTTACATGATAATTGTGAGCATCACAATTCTGCTTCACAATAAAATTAAAATTAAATGCATTCCTTGAGCATTCACTGTGCCAGATTTAGGTAATGGAGTAAAATTAGGCGATGCTTACAGCCATCCAGAGAAAATAAAACTCACCTCTGGCTTTCCTTGGTCTGGGTCCGGACCCCTGCATAAACACTGGAATGGTACACATAGTACTAACACCATTGTAAAACTGGATAGCCGGTGGTCCTCAAGGCCAAATCCCTAAATTCCTTTCAGAAGCCCCTTGATGTCTAAAGAACACGGATGTACTTTTCAAATCCATGGTTAAAAGCAAAATCCCAATCTCAGAGCATTATTCTGCTAAAGTCCTGCATCTATGGCCTGCTTACTGCTTACTTGGGGGGAGCTGTTACCTGTCAAAGGCCTGGCGTTCATGTTGCTGTACTTTGATCTGGAGCAACGGCTAACAGAAAGGGGAGGGGGGGGGACTAATGCTGTGCTCAGTCACAGCCTCAAAACCAGAACCCACTAAACCAGAGCCGCACACCGTTTTTGTTTTTTGTTGTTCTTTTGCGCAAGTCTCCTAATCATAAACAAAGTCTAATCATTAACTCCCCCAGCGCCCTCAGAGCGCCGGCGGCACGACGGGTGCAACCTCAGCATGTGACTCTGCTGCAGGGGACGCCGGGAATCAAACAGATCTGACAGGAACAGGAGGGCCAGTCGATGTTTCACCTTTGCTGTCATTTATCTGACACGCATGGGGACTTTGGACAGCTTACAACTCCTTTTCCTTTTTAAGTGTACGTGCGGTTGAACTCATAAGTATTACATCATCACGGGAATATATCAAAGTTCACTTTACTTCCTCACTTAAAAAAAGGTCACAATAGCCCTCCGAATGAGAGGGGCTTTAAATGATCAAAATACCATGCAGAAGCAGCTTTAAGGGATTTCTTGTTCTTCGAAACAAACATGTTTTTCATACATGTATGATGACTTTAAATGATTCTTTTCAAAACAAAATTCTATAAACATCTAACATCAAAGCTTTAAACTGATTCAGATTCAAAGAAAACATTCTTTTAGCTTTTAGCAAAAGTACCTTTTTTAGCTGAAAATTACAAGATGACAATAAGTAAAAAAAAAATTATCTGTATCATAAGGTTCTATGTGTTTCATTTTCATTACTACTATCACTAGTTAGGTACAAGGGCAGGTAGTAAAGCAGCAGTAGAAGATTATGGTTAACCTCTTGATTTTTTTTTTTTCAGAAGCTGAGAGTTTTAGGTTTTAAAATAAACATTGTCCCTTTAATCTTCTGGGAATAGTTTCTGAAACACTAAACTAAAATTCTAAAACGTGGGCTCAAATGTATACCCAGCAACAAACTGAAATAACGAGGACTTACAATAATGGAAGACTGGGTTATTGAGCTAAATTAAGGCTATAAAGTAAAAAAAATGAAAATAATAATAATAATTAAACCTGAAAAAAGGTTAAAAAATAAAACATTGTACCAGACTGTGCAAATCTTTCATATTTCATCCTCTGAGATCTGCATTGCATATTGTAAGATGCTCTTATTGGTGAACACATGTTATTTTTCAAAACTAATCACATACACATGGGGGTGATGTTGGCATGGGTGTTGCGATACGATACGTGTCACGATACTTGTAATACGATATTATCATGATATTGCAATATCACTATATAGTGCTTTAAATGTTCAGCAGAAGATAGTGATTGTTTAGCTATTTTGGCATCCATAATGTTTGGGGTTTGAGTCATGACTGCCTGAACTACAGATATGGCTCTGCACAGCAAAAGGGCTCCACAGCACCATCTATTAGAGTGGCGGTGCAGAGGTGGCTCATTTCCCCTCATTCTTTTAGGTTAAATTATTTTTTTTTAAATCGATATTAATACCTGAAAGATCGATATTAATCAGGATATATCGCCAAATCGATTTTTTCCCCATCACACAGAATGTTGATGATTTTTTTAAAGACATTTCCAGTTCCCACAGTCCCTCAATGCAACAGGGAATACGTTGTTCAGCTGCTGTGATGAGCTGTTAAAATTACACATCACTGTCATCTGAGGCCCGGCCCCCTATGCCAAAACATAGCCATAAGTTTGAAGCCTGAAAAAAAATCTGCAAGTTTGAATGAGAAAAAAAAAATTGAAACTGAAAAGAAGTTTTTTATTTTCAACAAACTTTTTCCCCCCCAGATAATTTTTTCTTTTAACTAGCTCCATAGTGCTTCTTGTGTCCTGAGATGCTACAAGTGCAGTGGCAACCCACTGCTCCTCAAGAACACTAATTTAGTCCAAAGGAGATGTTTTATAGCAATGTAAAAAATTTTTTACATTTACAAATAAAAATTGTTAAGATATAGAATACTTTAGATTTAGATTAGCATGTTAGAGAGAGAAACATTGCTTTCCATTCCCTGAAAATGTTTCCTTCAATGATATTTTTTTGGTAGAAACCCTCCCAAAAATTACACATAAACCATAAATTTCTGACGCCTATGATAAAGTGGTTCAGCCACCTCTATGAATCACTTGTAAGGCAGCATCTGGGGCTCCAGTTAAACAAAATAATATTTTATTTTCTTTGTTAGGAAATGTCAACTTTATATCAAAATGTAAAGTTGGTAGACATGAACTATGTATAGTCCTTAAGAAACCTTGATTATTTCCTAGAAAAAACAGATAAGGAATCAGATAACCATTGTTAGTTAAGATAAAACCTTAAATTAGTACATATGTTGCTGTAATCTTGTCTAGTTTTTTTCCCTTTAACCGCAGTAAGAGTGAAAAACTCAAACGCTTATCATAAAGATCGGTTTTCTGGAGGCAGGGAGAGATAGAGGTAGACAGACAGAGACATGAGAGGAAGGTTATTCCATATCCCACTCATTACACAGGGTAATTTATAAGTTTGCAGCCTTACCTCATTTGGCAGCGAGGCAAAGTCAGGTTGTTGTTGCGATGCTTCTCCCTGACTGAGTGGGGGTGAAACACATTCGACCATCTGTTCAGAATTACTTGTTGTTGAATCAGGCGGCAGCTCATGCTGAGCAGAGATATCAGCTTGAAGCTGCTCTGGTGAATCTCGGGGCTCTGAGGAAAGTGGGTCGATGACAGTCTGACAGGGCTGCGGCTCTGCGTGGTGTTCGGGCTCAGTGTGAATGAGAGGAGTGCTTTTGGCGGAGGTGACCTGAGCGGTGGCGGCTGTGGGCCGGCGCTGTCGCTCACTGGCTTGCAGGCAAGGCAGGCGTCGAGAGTAGTCATCGTGGAGACGGCTCAGGGGGGACATGGGAGACGGAGAGGTGGGACTCGTGGACAGACTCTTACTCCGCCGGCCGGTTAGGTCGGTCATACTGCCGATCAGCTTGACCATTGGCCCCTTGTTCTTCATTTGGCTCCTCCTGCCTCGGAGGTCCACCGAAGATACGCTGGAGGTCCTTTGGATGCTGGGTGTCCCGTTTGGAAATGTGATGCCCTGAAGGTCGTCCTGAGGTGAAGCAAGTCCTGGACATGGGCTTTTACGTCTCATAGGTCGCTTAAATAAATTAAGGTTCTCTGCACTTTTGCTGAGTCTGCTCAAAACCTTCACATTGATATTTTCCTTCTGGTTCTCTGTTTGGACATCAACCCTTGATTTTTGTGTCATGTGTGTAGTGTCAGATTTCTCTCTACCTGCTCCTCTTCCATTTTCTAAGTCAAGTAACGTGATCCTTCCTGCGCCGTATGCTCTCCTGATGCTCCTGGAAAATCGGGAATTGCGTGTGAGCTCACCGTCAGCCTCCTCATCATCATAGTCCTCAATATCTGAGTCGTGCTGTTTCTTGTTGGCTGATATTTGGTCTGGTAAATGTAGATTAGATATATGATTAGCTGCATCAGCTAGATCAGACCCTGAGCTGTTCCTGGCTGATCCATTAGGCATGTCCATGAAAAGTGGGGGGGCAATGTTGCTCGCTGCCCCCTTACTCTGAATTCCTTGCAGCACAGATGACCGCAGTTTTTTAAAGGAGTCCATAACACCGAACCCTGCCAATCCGGTCCACGGCTGGGGGCTGCTGTTCCCGTCGTTGTTCGAGCTTTCTGCATCAGGGCTGTGAGGAGGGACGACACCCTTCCTCGAGTTAGAAAACAGCCTCATTATTCTTGAATTGTAAGGCCTTCCTTCAGCTTGACTGTTCCCTGGGTTGGTCCAGGCAGAGGAGTTGATTCCATTTATTCTGCTCTCATCAGAGAATGGAGCTTCACCCACAGGCTGCACCTGGGAGCCACAACCGGACAGCAGGCAGGGGCCTGAGCTCCTGTCTGCAAGGCTCTGCGATGGAAATAGGTCGCTGAGGGGCCTGACTCGAATCAGGGGATCCGGTTTTGAGTGATGAAGGCGATGGAGAGGCTCTTCACTTCGGGACAAGACCTTGTCCTTCTGTTCTGCCTGCAGGAAAAACAAAGCACACTATTAACTTCATCATTAGACATTAGATAAGTAAAATGTACCAAAATAAAAGCAGACAAGAGACATCTGTGTAGCACAAATGTTGACAATTTTCAAGCTTTATACAAAACCATTGTAAGGCTCAGTGCTGAATGGTTTTCAATGTACTAAGCAGATCTTAGCGGGCAGTATTTTGGGTGAAAAGGGAATATTTTTCTAAAGTCTGAGATAAACTACTCAGACTTCATTGCCTTGTATGGCCTATTTGATGCAATACTCTCTGTGCCTAAAACGGTTTGATTAGGGCCCTGTTAGGTAGTCTGATTCAAAGCCCAGCTAAAGATGCAGAAAACCTTTATTTACACAAAAAAGTCGGGCCAAAACAGAGTTAACCAAGACTCCATGATATTAGACAATACTGTGATGGAAATGATAATATTCAGCTGTTAGTCGATGTATGCAAGATATACGGCGTATACCAATTAGGGCTGAAACTAACGGACAACTAACTATTTTGCAAAGCAATTATTTTTTCGATTAATAATTATCCAAAGGTTATCCAAAGATATTTTACGAAATGAACCAGGTGAAACTAAAACCTTTCCACTTGAGGGGTTCTGGAATAAGCATATTGAAAGATGAAATTATTATTTTTTTATATCTTAAATGCAAAATTTTTCTGAGTTTTTTTTCTTTTAAAATTTTGACATCATTATTCCTCCAAGTCAAATAAAACACATGTTTTAGAGTCTCTATAGTCCAGTTAACGATCAATCGATTGCTAGATTGGTTGACGATTATTTCAATGATGGATTAATCATGATTGTTTCAGACCTAATACCAATACTGAAAAAATAAACTCAAGACTTTATAGAATTAATTTAACTAAATACTCCTGTAAATAGTTACCTTCTCCCCATGTCTTTTAGATTTGAGTAAATCTGAGCAAGTTGACAGTTTTTTTTGTACTCCAGATGTGTTAAAGCCTTCAGGTAATTTCTTAGAGGATGCACTGAGAACATGGTTCTGAATCACAAGTAAAGAACAGAACCAAGACAGTCCAACTGAGCCAGCCGGACCATTTGTAGAGTCTACAAATGGTTCGGCTGGGGAAGCAAAGCAAGGATTTCTCTGGCCATAGAGGAACTGAGCCGTCTGAACCATGAAAAGCGAGGCCTCCGGTTCCCAGGACTCACTGCTCGGATCCAGGTGGATTATTTTCACTTCTGTCCTGCAGTTCTGCCGGTTGTTCATTCTAACAGCCTCCATAACTGCCTCCTGCCTTCAATTCTCTTTCAAAAATGTTTCCTGGGTCAAACAAAAAAAATACCTTTGATTTAATTCCTGAGAATTAAAGAGGACTTGATAAATTTTTAGGTTATTTGAGTTCAATTCCAATGAAAATCAGTCCACCTGACCTGTTCGTTAAGTTTGTTTAGTTATTATGCTTTTAGGCTTTTTTTTCTTGATTCTATGTTTATCTTTCAAATTCAGAAATATAGGCCCTAAATGTTCTTCCTCCTCTCCTTTATTTGAGTTTGATAAGGCTGAATACTCCGAGTAAAGGTGTGTTACACTTCAGATAAAGTACAGTTTATTGATAAGTCATGAGACATGATGGATTTTAATGACCCTCTGCTGGTTCGGTTAGTGACATTAAATCTGAAGAAGCTGACAGCCGTTACAATCAAAAGATAACCACATGCAGCGGGAGAAAATCACTGAAAGAAAGTAAACCTATCATCATCTAAATCTTTTTTAAAGATTTGCCAGATGAAGAGAAAGGAAATAAAAAATGGAGAAGGGAGTGTCCCACAGTGTGGGCCTGGTCCAGAAGAGAAAGCCACTTTACACAGAGCCCAGCATGGATTTGTCCTTGGTGCTGCTTTCAATGTCCCAGGAGAGCTGAGGCCCAGCCTAGGGGGTGGTACACTTCAGCTTTACATGTGTCTGATTCAGGGCAGAGGCTAACACTGCTAAGGCTTTGAAGTGCAGCTTTGTGAGCGTGACTAAGCAATGAAAACTGCTAATCCATTGTGATTAATGCAATAAATTGCCCTGTTTTTCCTCCAGATTTCACAGACAATTAGGGAACAGGGGAGGGAGGGGTCCTCCCATGAGTGACACTCTTCAAGTCATTATGGATCATCATCTCAACAGCTGGCAAAGCACGAAAAACAAAATCAAGTTAATTTTTTAAGTTAAAATCGTCTTTTTTCCTCAGAAATTATTCGAGCTAAGCTATTAATTATTGAAGTTGGATAACTTTACAAACCATTCAAACAATTCCAGTTAACAAACACAGTTATACTTTAACAGCCCCACCACTACACACTGCCTTCTAGTGGTTAATTCACAAAACATAGCACTTGAAGCATCAATAAACATTTAAAAAGCATTAGCCATGATGTGATATATAATTATGTTGGATGCAAGAAGAAAATGTGATTTTCTACTAATCAAAGCAAATACTTGTTTTATCCAATGAATGCGAGTTAAACGTTAAATAAAAAGAGCAAACAAAGAACATTTCCCGCCCCGAACCAAAGGCAGGTGTTTGGGTTAAGGCTGGATTTAAATCAGAGGTGTGGTTTGAAATCTAGCAAATAAAAAGATTACCAACCCTTAAACTTGGTTTCACATTTGGTCACATTACAAACTTAACGCTTGATGCATTTTATCTATAATATTTTATAACATATGAACACAAAGAAGTGCATAAATGTGAAGCGGATTACATTTTCTTCAACCATATTTTAAAAGATACCAAAAAGAGATTTCAACAGGGTATAACCTACAGCAGAGGCGTCCATGTTGGTCCCTAAAGGCTACAGTCCTGATTATGATCAAAACTACCGAGGAATAGTTGCCAATTCATGTGATTTGATTTGTTTCTTAATGGTGTAAATGTGTTCCTTTCTGATTAAACTGATAGGGATGTAATTGTTATGAGTAGTGAGATACATGAACATCATGTTTTTGTGCAAATTTTGAGTTTTTATATTGTGAATAGAATGTAATTTTATATTCTTTATTGTGAACTTTAATGATTATTTTGGTTTTATGTAACTTTATACTGTATTTCCTTTTAATGGACTCCATTAAGAATAGCAGCAGCCTTGACTTTGGCTAATGGAGCTCCAAATGAATAAACTATAAACATTACCAAGCTTCTGCAAAGCTAGATGACATGCTGATGAGTTAAATGAAAAAAGAGAGGAAGAAAAAGTAGCACTGCCTGTTATCCTAAAAAAATACATCACCATAGTGAGATGTAGCAGTGGCAGCATCATGCTGTGGAAGCACTTTTCCAAGTCAGGTTACTATTATTAATGCCTTTATGCTTCTCTATCATGATGCACAATAAGATACATTGATCATTATTTATTATTATTTAAAATTTTCAGGTGGAATAAACCCTTGTGCAAACACACATTATACTACAATTCTAACATGTATGAATGCTAAATAGGACTTAAAAAGGCATCATACAAATGTCATGCTTTTGCACGAGGTAGCAGGTAATTAAGAAAACATGCAAGATGGCCGAATAATGATGAGTATATAAGATGAAGACTAAAAATATAAATAAGTGTCATCACCTTTGCTTCACAGCAAAATGAGAGTGGGGATGGGGGGGGGGGGTTATGAAGTGTGACTGCTGGGCTGCTGACTGGACTGGTCCTAAGCAGAGAGCCATGAGCTGCCTGTCCTCAGTCAGAGGAGGGGGCCTCGGGGCATTAAGGGAGGCAGGGGGAACCAGGGGGCCGTCTATGTCCAGGCTACCGTCACCGGGTCAGGTTGGGTCGCTCTGCCCCCCGCTGGCTCCCTGCACCGGACCAGCCCCGGAGCTCACAGCTGGGTTCTGCTGCACTGTAGTCAACCAAAATCCAGGACGATTTTGAAATTTCCCCCGGACATTTTTTTAAGGTATGAAATGTAGGACATGTCCAAGAAAAATGGCACGTCTGGTCACTCTACCATATCAACAATTTGAGGCTTTAGTGAGTGAGTGCTTGTTGCTATGAAGCGTCTTTGCTCAGCAGCTTTACTCGTTGTAAACCAACCAATCATCTAAATATTCATGAGCATTTCATAAAGGGAAGGAAACCTGTTGTTTAATTCTAGGGCTTATAACCAGGCTTGCATTAGGGCTCATAGAACATTTTCAGCCCGACCAATGTTACACATCCTATTCAGAGACTTTAAGGACCAGCACCAAATACCCTATATAATCATTCTATGACCCCTTTAAAGGAAAAGTCAGGTCATACCCAGAATTCAAACTTCTGAAAGTACTTTAAATATGAAATGATTACACACTGTTCAATAAATGATACGTGTTTTTAATTGAGAGTAATTTTCATTTGACTGCTTTACTGGAGACGTCCATGTTTGTCAAAGAACACTACTGCCACCTACTGGTTTGTGACGTCACGGTGTGGTATCGCCTGTTGATCAAGTCCCAATGCTGTATCTGGTGTTTGTCACTATGCAATATTTTCAAAGTAATCTTGAAAACATTCTTCTTTGAAATGTTGGCTACATATTACGTGTTTTTTTCTCTGGCCAGAAGTTTGATGGCAAATCCTCCCTCTTCAAGTTGGCAATCCAACGTCCAACTCGTCCGTGGTGGATCATGAATTGGAAAGGTGAAATGACTCAATTTTTTTTTCATTTTTACCCGATGTATTGCAACATCCAACTGCCATTCACGTGGGAATTTTCTGTTTAACTATAGCTCTTATGAATTTCAATGGTGAGGTCCTCTTGAAATCTCAAATAATTGTTGTTGATGGCAGATGTGTCTAATAGTTCCCAATGCCTTCACTTGTAAAGAGGGGAGAAAAGCGCTAGGCTTATCACACCGTGACGTCACTCCCGGAAGATGTGTGAGGTGTTACTATATTTGCGCAAAAATGGCTGGTCCCGGACTCAGTGATCGTGACCAAAATAGTTTTTATTTTTTTACTGATTAACGCTGAATTAATTAAATCACC